ACGACGACACACACACACNCNCNCNCNCNCNCNCNCCCCCCTTCCCCCCACTACCGCCACCCTAACCAAGCAAGGCGGCTGACGGAGGGGTGACACGGCGCAAGGCACGGGCGGCAGGCTCCCGCGTCGCTCCCGCGTACCCACCCCCTGCCCTGCCCTGTGGCTCCTTCCGAAAGAGAAAAATCTCGGCAAGCAGAGAGCGCGTGCTGTGATGTATAGGCGGGCGCCGGGGCCGGGCACTAGGTAGGAGAAGCCCGGCGGCCAGCGACAAGGCGGGGTTCGCCGATTCGCGACGGCGAGGCTGGGGGTGCTGGCGCCTCTATGGCTGACCAGCCAGCCAGTCATCACTCATCTCCCCACTCCGAGCTGGAGCTTCCCGTCTGTGTCACGGCGCGAGAGACACAGCCAGACTAGGTGTTTCCGTCTGCCCTCCTCCCCTGCGTCAGCGCCATAGATTACCTGCCCGCGCCTCGCGTTTTCTAGAAGCTCTAGGTTGCAGGTAGTACCCCCCCGTTGTCGCCGTCGCCAAGGGACCATCTTCGTGCTACAACAAGGCGGCGGCGAGCCTTGATGGCGGACCACTTGGCTGGGCTAGTAAGCAGTTGCGGTGTCATGTGAGAGTGAGTTGGTAAGCTGTGTTGACAGGAGTATTACCTGGATGACAGACGTTCGATGGTGGGCGCTGCGCAAAGCATATTAGCGCCGCAGATATCTTGGAAGCAAATATAAAGGCCTGGGCAATGGCAAGGGCTGTAAATCTAATGGAATGCATTCATATCCAAGGAAGAAACCATGCCAGTGGGTTTAAACAGATCAGGTGCTGTCGGATGTGATATAACGAGTGAGAAAAGAAGCGCCATGCCGACATCCTAAAGCATCAATCATTCCTCCTCAATCAGGCCGGTGAGCCCACCAGCCAGTCCCTGCATTCTCCGGCCGAGGAGGTCATCCGAGCTGGCCAAGCGGTTGAGCGCCTTGTCCTTGTACTCCCTCCTCCCTCTGATGCTGCCGTTGTTGCCCTTGAGACTCTTCCTCCGCTTGATATCGGCGTTGCTACCGTTGGCGCCAGCCTCGGACGCCGCCTGGTCGTCGCCCTCACCCGCGTTGCTGCCTTCCTCGGGCTGCTCTTGCTCTGGCTGCTGCTCCGTGGCCGCCTTGCCCCTCGGCCGCGTCATGCTCATCTCTAGCGGCCGATCCCACTCGTCGCCGCTCGACTCGGTGCGCACATGGTGCCTACCCTCGCCCTTCGTCGTAAGGGGCGAGCCGTCGCCGCCTGGCCTCGCAGCGGCCGTCGCCCTGGGGCCGTTCCTGCCTCGGTTGGACGAGACGAGGGCGCGGCGCCTCTCGCGCTCGCGCCGATCCGCCGCCGCAAAAGCCTCCTCGATCCAGCCAGCCGAGCGGTCGATCCACTTGTACGCGGGTGGGTAGATGGTTGGGTACTGCATGAAGCCGTGAGAGACGCCGGGTATCAGGACCGTCTCGGCCACGTCCTTCTCGTTGAACCCGGGCGAAAGGCTGTCGTCGTCCATGTACTCGAACCGCCGCCCGCCCGAGGCGTGCATGGCAGCCTTGACGCGGCGCAGTCGGCCGGCGAAGATGACCGTGTCGTCGACCAGCGGGTCGCGCTCACCCGTCAAAAAGTACGTCTTGGGGAAACGGGCTAGTAGCACGTCGGGCGCGAGCACCGGTGAGAGCAGGTAGTCGGACGAGAAGTCGGGCCGGTTGTGTGGGCCGATATAGAGGATGATCATGGCCCTCATCATCTCGGGCGATAGAATGCGGTCGTTGAAGTACGAGATCATGGATGACGTTGCCAGCCGCGTGCGCAGCGGCTCCGAGTGGTGCGACGATGATGGGGTGTCGGTGACGCCTTTGACGCTGTTGCCGTTGCCGTTGCTGTTCTTGCGCGCCGCCGCCGAGGGCCTCTGTCGTGACGGCTGTTGCTGGGACTTGGTCCACGTGCTTGGCCCCTCATGTGCGTATTCCGGGTGCGGGCTCCGTGCCTTGTCAGCACCCACGCGGGACTGCGCCAGCTCCCTCTCCGATGGTGGCGTGATGGCAAGTGTCGGTTGCTGCTGCTGCTGCTGCGCATCCGGTCCCTCATCCTCATCGTCCGAGTGGTGAGGTGTGCCGACGAGGTTGTTGTACTGCATGCTCTTGCGACGCACGATCCTGCGGTTCGTGTTGCGCACACGCCTGTCTCTAATCAACGACATCTGCTCGTCCGACATCCAGTTCCCAATGTTCATATCGAGACCTGGATAGAACAGGATCAGGGCCTCGGGAAGGGGCAGATCCGTCTGGCCCTGGAACCGGCGCACAGGCGAGTTGCCGCTCTCGATGATCATAAGCGTTGTTGCCGTCGCGAGGTTGCCGCCGGCGCTGTCGCCCGAGAGAATTATTCGCGGCATCTCTATCCCTGGGAGTCCGATGCAGCGGCCCTTGGTGTTGATGATGGTGGTGTAGACGTCGTAGCATTCGTTGAGGGAGTGAGGGTAGGGGAACTCAGGAGCCTTCTTGTAGTCCAGGCTCAGGATGGGGAGGCCCGTCTTGGAAGCCCAGCCTAGCAGCCTATCGTCATTGCATCGAGGGTCCATGGCCACGAACCCGCCGCCAGGGAAGTCGAGCACCATCTTGTTGTGGTGCTCAAGGTCCGAAAGCGGGCCATCGTAGTAGAGCCATCCGTTGACAGGCTCCTTGAAGTCGCTGGTGGCGGGCCGCGGGATGCGGATCTGCCGGGGTGGCCAGCGGCTGAAGCGCGGGCTGATGAGGCTTTGGAGAAAGGCGATGTAGGGCGAGACGCCCTTGTTCCAGCTCACCCGCAGGTGCTCGACCGTGAGGTTGGCCCGGACCTTGCGGACCTTCTCGTCGGCCTTCTCCGTCTGGAAGAGATAGAAGCCCGTAAAGATGATACTGCAAAAATCGCGCAGCCACTTGTTCCGGATCTTCATGGCCGTCCAGAAGCCGGCGTCCAGGGCCGTCAGGACCCAGGTGGCCCGGAAATACGTGGTGTCGTACATGTTGGCCAGCGGCTCAGGGCTGGCCAGGCCCACCAGCGTGCTGAAGTTGCGCGTCGCGTACAGGTAGGCCATGGTGACGACAACAATCTGCCAGGCCGTCAGCCTCCGGCTGAGCACCCTGGACAGGACCTGGAAGATGGGTGGCCCATGTTTGTTCCCTCTGTCGCAACGGGGTACCATGTCAGCGTGTGCGCAATGGCAATATTAGGCGAGAGAAGGCGGCGAGAGAAGGCACGGGCGGTCAGCTTACTTGACCAGGTAGGCGGTCCAGAACGACAGCACAGCCAGCACCTGAAGCCGTCGAGACTTGGTGGAAGGCCTGCCGAGAACATGGTCCAGCATTGTTGATTATTGGGGCAGGCGGCAGCGGTCCGTGAGGACCTGCCAGGCGCTGGAACCGCGGCGAAGGACGGGCGGCACTCTACGCGGACAGGAACCGGTCCCGCAGGCGGGATGGGGCGTTTGGCTCCGAGCCTAAACTATCCGATGGTTCCGATGATCTTGTTCCGATGATCTTGTTCCGACGATCTTGCAGGCTCGCTGCTGGGACAAACAAAGACTCGCATGCAGCCCAAGGACCATTGGCGCATCTACGTCGATCCGGGCCTGAGGTGGGTTCGCGGAGGACGGGTTTCGTCTTCAAGAGCAGCCCCAACTAAGGCAAAGACGCCCGTCGGCTGGGCTGGGTCGGTGTTTTGGTGCTCACCCAGACATGTGACAGAAGGGATGATGGGGCAGTCTGGAGACCCCGGCAGGGAGGGTGTGAAACAAGGCCGACCCGACGGGTGAGACGAAGGCAGCAACAAGACGATTGAGCGTTGGAGGGGAACAGGCGCAGACAGGAGCGCGCCGCAGTAGCGCACTGCGGGAAGAGAGAGGCATGGAGGACAGCGTTCGATCAGCAGTCGAGGAACGGCTCTTGAAGCCAGCTCCAACCAGCCCAAGCCCACGTCAGGCGGGCGCGTGCAGACCGTGAAAGCCGATGGAATGCGGAGCCCCATGGGACTCGACGGGCTTTGTTTGCGGCTGTCCAGCTGGCCGGGAGTGGGTGCTGGGCTAGGGCGAATCCCATAGGGCGAATCCCCTGCGCCATGCCGCTGGCATGTGAAAGGAACCTCGACGCCTTCTGGAAGACCCTGTTCACATGATGACGTCCCCCCACGCCGCGCTGCTTGATTCGCCCATGCGGCGTGCACAGACCCGGCCTGTCGGGAGCACTGCCTTCACGGGTCGACGCGAGCAACAGCCTGACTCGAGGTGGGGGTTCTTAGCCGAGAAGCGAGAAGCCATTGGAAACTGGAGAAGGAGGATGACGATGATGAAAGTTGTCGATTTGAAGACCATCAAATAGACGATTGATGACTACGCCGCCAACCACGGGAAGCCCACGCCTATGGCGCGCGTCTGTCGCATGGCCCGTCCCGCTGTCATTGCCCCGATCTGGCGGGCTGCTCGATTGGCTCTTGGCCGACAGATGGTTGGGCTCTATGCGTGGCTTTTTTACCACTTCGGCCGAGGACAATTGATCGAATCCAAGGTAATGAACTGGAGACCGAACTGGAGACCCCTCCTTACGTAGGCCCCTTGGTCGGGTTTTGATGACGGGCAGTGTCTTGGGTCAAAGAGTCAATCTGGGGAGCGATATCGGCATCGTTTCTTGTGGGTGCAGTGTCTGGGGAGCCGTTTCAATGGAGACGTCTCCTGCAAATGTGACCTGGCATGCATGCAGGGTAATTGGAACCCCAAAGTCACACAATCGGAGCCGTCCATTGCGCTGCTCCTGAAGGAAACATGGCTAAACTACTCCAGCTGCGGTTCTGATTAGCCGGCTAACATTCCGAAAATTCTGAATTTGACTCACTGCGCCATCCTATCGATAGCAGCTGTGACAGCTACGAGGTGCCGCGGTCGGGCTCTAATAAACGTTCTCACCGGATCCAGATCTCCCGGTGACGCATCACCAACTCCTATTGTCGTTCTTCCTTATATTTCTTGTTTTGAGCGTCAATTGACTTGGCTCCGAGTCGCCCGCGTCTACCAGACACCCGTCTTCGTACCTGTCTTCGTCCACCGCAAAAATGGCGTTCCGATATGTTTCCAAAAGGATACCCGCCAATTTGGCATCGCACTCCCGTTCTTTTAGATTCTCCTCAGCTGCCGCTGCCGCAGCAGTAGCGAAAGGCAAGCTCAAAGAGCAGGTACGATCTGGTCTGTCTTTGGCAACTGCTTCCGTTCTGAACTGATCGTGTTTTTGTGTCTGCTTTGCAACAGCCTCCAGGCCCAGCTCCAGGCCCAGCTCCAAACATCCTGTCCCATCCCGACCCCGCCGACGGTTCGCGGAGCGCCTCGCTCGTCAACGAAAATGCCCCCTACATGGTGGCAACGTACTCGCGCCCGCCGCCCGTCTTCGTCCGCGGCAATGGCTCGTACTTGTGGGATATCGAAAACAGGAAGTACCTCGACTTCACCGCCGGCATCGCCGTCACCGGCCTGGGCCACTGTGACCCTGAGATTGCCGAGATACTGGCTGACCAGGCGCAAACCCTGGTGCACACCTCCAACCTCTACTACAACCCCTGGACCCTCTCGCTGCAAAGGCTGCTGGTAGAAAAGACCAAATCCGGGAACGGCATGCATGATGCCTCGGCCGCCTTCATCTGCAACTCGGGCTCCGAGGCCAACGAGGCCGCCATCAAGTTCGCCCGCAAGGTCGGCAAGGTCGTCGACCCGTCGGGCGCAAAGACCGAGATCGTGTCCTTCACCAACGCCTTCCACGGCCGCACCATGGGCTCCCTCTCGGCCACGCACAACCCCAAGTACCAGGAGCCATTCGCGCCCATGGTGCCCGGCTTCGTGCAGGGCCAGTACAACGACGTGGCCGGGCTCGCGGACCTGGTCACGGAGCGGACGTGCGGCGTCATCGTCGAGCTGATCCAGGGTGAGGGCGGCGTGCGCGTGGCGGACGAGGCCTTCATGGTGGCCCTGGCCCGCCGCTGCCGCGAGGTCGGCGCCGTGCTCGTCCACGACGAGATCCAGTGCGGCCTGGCCCGCACCGGCCGCCTGTGGGCGCACTCGGCGCTCCCCGCCGAGGCCCACCCGGACATCGTGACGACGGCCAAGGCCCTGGGCAACGGCTTCCCCATCGGCGCCGCCATCGTCAACGCCCGCGTCGCCGACCAGATCAAGGTCGGCGACCACGGCACCACGTACGGCGGCAACCCGCTCGCGTGCCGCCTCGCCCACCACGTGCTCGAGCGCCTGGCGGACCCGAAGCTGCAGGTCTCGGTCATGGCCAAGGGTGCCGTGCTCGCGAGCGGCCTGAACCAGTTCTGGCGCAAGTACCCGGCCCTCATCTCGGAGATCAGGGGCCGCGGCCTGATCCTGGGCCTGCAGCTCACGTCGGACCCGACCCCGATACTGACGGCGGCGAGGGAGAGGGGGCTGTTGGTCATCACGGCGGGTCAGAACACGATCCGATTCGTGCCGAACCTGCTCATCACCGAGGGTGAGATCCAGGAGGGGCTCCGCAAACTAGACCAGGCCATCGCTGCGACACAAGCATCATGATGCAGTAGTGCGAGTATTTCCGGCATCCAAGCTATGGCGCTCGATTTGGTGTCCCAAGTGAGCCGTATGTCAACCGTCAAATAAAAACGGATTGTGTTTTGAAACCATGTTTTTTTTTTACGCTTGTCGTTCGATACTCGGGCGCCTGGTGGTGGTGCACAAGTGTATGCAGGTGTAGGCCGTACCTTTCATGCTGGGTCAAAAAAGTGGAGTAATTTCCAAGTAGTCTGGCTGCTGCCTGAATGTTTTCCACCTCATGTGTTGGTCGGCCACAACCGGAGTGATTCTCTCTTTTTTTACCACAAATCAAAGCATCAGCCAAGAACAACAACGCCCCGACCAGGGAAGCAGCCATGGCGCAACAAGCGCCCATGCCGGGTCTTGCAGAGATCCTGCGGGCGTTGCCATCCCTGAAGGCCGAGGAGCTCCGACTCTTGAAGGATCGAATGGACCAAATTCTGTAGGTCAACCTAAAGCCATTGACCCAAGGGTGGTGGCCCAGCCAGACTTCAAAGGCGCTGACAACCTGTCCCATCGCTGGCAGCCAAAAAGATATCCTCCTCCATCTGCCCCAAGAGCTTCAACTCTGCGTCCTTGAGGGGCTAAATGTTGATGATATCGGGGCCTGCGTCCACGTGTCACGGTCGTGGCGCAACCTCATGCAGCAGGAGGCTGTAGTCACCACGCTCTCCCGCATCAACTACCCGGGTCTTTACCAGATGGTCCAGTGTCGCTATGACACCAGGGTGGCGGTGACCGGCAACAAACCCAACCAGGGTGGCGGTGGGGTTTTACGTACCCTCCATCGGCGCGCCTATTTCAAGGCGCTTCATGGAACCATGCGCCGCCGACGTGGGATGTTTGGCTCTTTGTACTCCCATCGCTGGTGGCACCGTTCCGACCCCGACGAGGCTGACGGTGTCGAACGGCTGCTGCCAGCTGATGAATGGCGTGGCCATTTCGTGCTGCCCCATGACACCACAGAAATCTTCTGGCCCAAGGATGTAACCAAGTATCGTCGGGCTCCCCTTCCCTCACCTATGCCTGCCGACCTTCCACCTCCAGAATTTGGGAAAGCCAGGTATCACTCCGGTCGGCTCGCGCTGCAGTTCGATGATGACGACCCTCGGGGGCCCTTCGTCGTCGATTACCTCTCTGAAGGAGTCCGAAGGAGGTTTCAGCCACCCGCCCAGCAAGTTAGCTCTTGTAACCTTTTGGCGCTTGGCGACACGCTCATGGTGTGCGGACGTGGAAATCGACTGTATGTGCCATTGTCTGGCTTACGCTTTCCGAATCGCTTCTTGGCAGCAAAACGAACCGTGTCCCCGCTGACCATTGATTACGTGGACCAGCTATGTCTACAACCTATTGCAGCCCGAGCAACCCTGTCGCTCCCTTCACCTCCCGGGGTTGATCAATCAAGACTGCATCGCAACCGCCGGGCCACATGTGGTGGGGATGCTGAGCTTCCACGGCTCCGTAAAGCTGTTCGACTGGACTGCAGATGGTCACATGCGTGACTACGAGGTGTCTGAGCCCACCGAATACGCCCTCGAAGCTTGCCAATATCTGAAAGACTCGCATAAGACCCGGCTCGTGGCGCACCCATTCGCCAAGGGAGTTATGTACCTGATGTTTAACAACATTCTTACAAGCTCGAAGATTACATACACATCCGGCCGTGCAGCGTCTAGCCGAGGCCTCAAAACGGTTGTTTTCGAGATCGTCGACCAGCAGTTTCGGCGAGGATGGTTCACCAAGTTCACCGCGCCGATTGATACATATACCCTTAATGGGCCCATGACTAGCTTTGGCACGCCAACGGACTCGCATGGTTCCATTTGTATAGGGATAATCGATGCGCCCGATGCTCCGGACTCAGACAATATGTCCGACTACGACGCTCTGGCAGCGGTACAGGGTGCCCTCCTCACCTTCAATATCTTCGCGCGCACTTTTGTGAGGACCAATGTGTGGAGTAATGACTTCAAGCACTACTGGGATGGTCTATACGCAGGCTGCTACTCCCACTGGCGTGAAGTCCGGGGTCTAGCAAGGATCGACGTCCCTATTGTCGTCCTTGCTTCCAGCCCAGTGCGGGAACAAAGCCGATACAATCCCGGGGTGGAGCTATACTTGAGCGAATGGGAGGAACAGTCGACTTCTTATCCGCCACAAACGTTCCAAGTCCCTGTGCGGTGCTTCCCTAGATTGAGCCCCGAGCAAAGGGAATCCCCAGTCGCAGCAAAAGACCACACCCTTCCACATCCGGATGACAATATCGAAGAACTGATCGACCATTACGGAATGAGTGTCTACCCTCTCTACACTCTCCTCTCCGATGCCGACTTTCACTTGTCCTACGGGCGCCTCGCGATATTCGGGGACGACGATTTTCTCATCTACATAGGCGACAGAGGATACGCTGCCTGGCGCTTTGCGCTAGAGGGCGATGTTCCAAAGAAGGCAGGGAATGACGACCAGAAACCGGGGCCCTCTCTTCCCAGAAGGAATCACTAGGCTCATTGCCACTCTTGACTAGCTATCGAGAATGGAATCGGGAGCTGCAGTGGATGTTGAATGCGTCGGCAGCCGGAATGGAGGATTCGAGAGGCCTTGGGGCACAGTTCTATCTGCGTTTCCTATCCATTATCCTCTGCTCGGACTCTATAGTTCATATGCTCGGACTGTCGGTTGTCAGCTCAGCAATTGACTTGCAGTCATGACCCAAGAAAAGCTCCCGTTGGGGCCGGAACCATTCGCCGGAATGGCAGAATCGTGCATCTGGGCCTCTGGCTTACCCCTCCCTTGTTTATTAGCTGCACCCGCGGCTGTCTTTCTGGTGTGGTGGGGAGGCATGCTAATGGCGAGCTTCCCTCCGGCCGCCTTCAGGGGCAGTGGCCAAGCCGACCAACCGCAGCAGCCGCCACGCCCAGCGGCACGCTTCAACGGCTGGCGTGCCGTCTCCGGGCGGCCGATGCGCACAACTATACATGCCAAATGCCCAGGAGCCGTCGTTCCGGTAAGCAGCAATCACGCCAGACAATAGCCTAGACCGCTCTGGGAAGGGACACAGCAGAGTGGCATCTGATAATAAGCGCGGGATGCTCCATGCATGGTCCCGGCGTATGCCATGCAACCATCCGTCACCCGCCCTGCCCCGTCCTAGTGAGGGCTTATAGCCTGAAAGCTAGCAAGTTGGAGAAACGACCTGGCCTGATGCAAATCCACGGTTCGGCAGCAAGCAAGCGGGGTAGAGAGTGCCGAGGCCTCGGGCATCTCTCCGCTCGCAGAGATGCTTTGAAATCGGGGTATAAATGCCCGGGACTTGGGTTTCCCGCCAGGCCCCGTTTGGCTTGCACTAGGGGCCCTGAGGAGAGCAATCGTTCACCATCCAGACAGGCACACATAGCTCGGACGCGATGCATTGGCGCCTTGTCCTGTCTCTGGTCGCCGCGGCGGCCACATCAGCCAGCTGTGCCGACGAGGAGACGTACGACTACATCGTCGTCGGCAGCGGGCCCGGCGGGGGGCCCCTGGCGGCCAACCTGGCGCGGGCGGGACACCCGACGCTCCTGCTCGAGGCCGGGGACGACCAGCACGACAACCCCAACATCTCCATCATCTACAACTTCCTCGCCGCGGGCAACGACGAGTCGACGCGCTGGGACTTCTTCGTCAAGCACTCGGAGGACCCGGCCCGGGCGCTCAAGTACGAGCGCCTGACGTGGCGCAAGCCCGACGGCTCCTTCTATGTCGGCCTCGACCCGCCCGAGGGGTCCAAGCAGCTGGGCATCTACTACCCGCGGGCCGGGACGCTGGGGGGCTGCGCGCAGCACAACGCGGGCGTGGCGTTCCTCCCGCCCGGGCGCGACTGGGACGTGGTGGCGAACCTGACGGGCGACCGGTCGTGGGAGGCGGCCAACATGCGCAAGTACTTTGTGCGGCTCGAGAACAACCGGTACCTGCCCAGGGGCACGCGCGGGCACGGGTTCGACGGCTGGCTGGCGACCATCGACACGCCGGCGGGCTGGGCGGGCGAGGACAACGACGGGACCAGGATCGCGCGGGCGCTGGCCGGGGGCATGGGCGTCTCGACTGAGGACCTGCCGGCCCAGCTGGGGAGCGACATCAACGCGGACAGGCCGGACCGCGACCGGCGGCAGGAGTTCGCGTCGCTCGTCAGCCACGCCGACGAGGACGGGTTCCGCAGCAGCCCCAACAACTACATCCGCGCCACCATGGCCGACGCCAAGAAGTACCCCCTCACGCTGAAGCTGGAGAGCTTCGTGACCAAGGTCCTGTTCGACACGTCGCCGTCGGTGGCGGGCGCGCCGAGGGCGGTGGGCGTCGAGGTCCTCCAGGGCAGGCACATGTACTCGGCCGACCCCAACTACAAGGCCGAGGCCAAGGGTAAGAAGATGACGTACCGGGCTAGGAAGGAGGTCATCGTGGCGGGCGGGGCCTTCAACACGCCGCAGATCCTCAAGCTGTCGGGCATCGGGCCCAAGGCGGAGCTGGAGCGGTTCGGGATCCCGCTGGTGGCCGACCTGCCCGGCGTGGGCGAGAACATGGCGGACAACTATGAGGCGCACCTGCTCGCGCTCAAGGAGGGGTCTCCGCTCAACGCGGGCGGGATCCAGACGCTGCTGTTCCGCACGCCGTCGGCGCCGACGGCGGACAGGAACTTTTTCGCGTGGTGCGGGAGCTTCAGCTTCGACGTAAGTGCCAAGCCAAGCCATGATGGGAAGACTACTACCAAAGATGAAGACGCTGACTTGGTTCTCCAGGGTTTCTGGCCCGGGTTCCCCGAAAACTACGGGCCGGAGCAGTTCACGTGCGCCATCGTGCAGATGAACCCCAAGTCGCAGGCGGGCTACGTGCGCCTGCGCTCGGCGGACCCGCGGGACGTGCCTGACATCAACCTACGCTTCTTCGAGCACAACGCGGACCAGGACCTGACGGAGCTGCTCGAGGCCGAGCGGTTCCTGATGGGCGGCGTCTACAACGGCACGGGGCCGTGGAACCCGCTGCACCCGTGTAAAAAGGGGGAGCCGTGCTCGGACTCGCACGTCAAGGAGTACATCCGGGACCAGGCCTACAGCCACCACGCGACATCGAGCGCGCGGATCGGGGCCTCTGACGACCCCATGGCCGTGCTCGACTCCAAGTTCCGCGTCAGGGGCGTCAGGGGCCTGCGCGTGGTGGACGCCTCGGCGTTCCCCGTGGTGCCGGGGGCGTTCCCTGTCGTGCCCGTCATGATGCTGTCTGAGAAGGCGTCGGATGACATCCTGGCCGAGGCTGCGTAGGGTAGCCGGCGACTCAGCCAGCCCGATGTGAGGAAAACGGTAAAAGTCTGGCAAAAGTCTGGCTTTTGGGAATGGCTTGGGGGCTTGGGGGCTTGGTGGCTTGGTGGCTTGGTGCGTGGGCTTGAGGAGAGCACCAAAAACGGATGGGGGCGTAGACAAAGAAAAGACAAATACAGAGTTGGCATTAGGATGGCATTACGGAATCCCATGGCCTGTAGCTGCTGATGTGCCCTGCTATGTCGACCTGAGCCCGTCATCTGAGCACAGTAAGTTGGGTCGCAGTCTGTTGGCGGTGCTCATTGGCCAATTGGAGCTCGCTCTTTAGCTTGGCTCTCTATACAGAGGCACAAAGTGCGAGGCAGTGGCTCAGTGGCTGCGTCTCCTTTATTCCCTTATCTCCGGTAAACGCGGATTCAACGGGTCCATCAACAGCCCGTGGCCAGAAGAAAGTACCCTCTCGGCAAAAATCGCGTGGGCGAGACTTGGCCAAGCCCCGTGACCCGGAAGGAGGTACCCGAATCCACCCGATTACAGCCATTGGATAACTGGGCCGGCGCACCGCCAAGCTGCCCGCCCGGCTAACCTAAAAAAAGCCTCAGAACAGTTTTCCTGGCCGCCAACTATTTTTTTTTTCTTTTCCGATCTTGAAATCTGGGATTTCTACAACACCTCCTCCGACACCACCACGTCCACCGTCGTTGACGACCCCATCTCCACTCAATTTGTCTCTGTCGAGATCTGTCCATTGACGGATCCTTTGCTTGGACCTTTTTCTTTACTTCTTTCACACACACACAACCGTCATCATGGCTCCGAAAGCTGATACCCTGCCGGTCGTCTCCCCCACCGGCCTGGCCCTCTACTCAAGATTCGCCCTCGCCGGTGCCGTCTGCTGTTCCGTCACCCACGGTGCCCTGACCCCCGTCGATGTGTACGTCCCCCAAAAGACTCAAACGACCTCGAAGCTCGTGCGCCTCGTATCCCCGTGGCCGCGTTCTTGGGGTTCAGCCCGCTTCGTGATATCCGGCATACCCAACTTTGGCCAATACTAACATGCACCCACCCGCCGCGCAGCGTCAAGACGAGGATCCAGCTCGACCCCGCCACCTACAACAGGGGCATGATCGGCGGCTTCAAGCAGGTCATCAAGAACGAGGGCGCCGGCGCGCTGCTGACGGGCATCGGCCCCACCTTTGCCGGCTACTTCATGCAGGGCGCCTTCAAGTTCGGCGGCTACGAGTTCTTCAAGCAGCAGTGGATCAACACCGTCGGCCTCGACAACGCCTCGGCCTACCGCACCCCGATCTACATGGCCTCGTCCGCCTCGGCCGAGTTCTTCGCCGACATCGCCCTCTGCCCCCTCGAGGCCACCCGCATCCGCCTCGTCTCGGAGCCCACCTTTGCCAACGGTCTGGTCGGCGGCTTCACCAAGATTGTGCGCACCGAGGGCTTCGGCGCGCTCTACGCCGGATTCGGACCCATCCTGTTCAAGCAGTAAGTTGCGCCGACCCGAGATGGCGGGGTAATGACTTGAGGTGTCTGCTGCTGACGTTTCCCCTCCAATCCAGGGTTCCCTACACCGTCGCCAAGTTCGTCGTCTACGAGAAGGTCGCCGAGGCCGTCTTCCGTACCTACCCCAAAGAGTCCCTCTCGGACGGCCTCCAGACGGCCGCCAACCTGGGCTCCGGTCTGGTCGCCGGTTTCGCCGCCGCCATCATCTCGCAGCCCGCCGACACCATGCTGAGCAAGATCAACAAGACCAAGGGCCTGCCCGGTGAGGGCACCACCAGCCGCCTGATCAAGATCAGCAAGGAGCTCGGCGTCAAGGGCTCCTTCGCCGGCCTCCCCGCCCGTCTGTTCATGGTCGGCACCCTGACCGCCTTCCAGTTCGCCATCTACGGCGACCTGAAGAAGGCCCTCGGCGCCACGGGCGGTGTCGAGATTGCGAAGTAAATAGCAGCGAGCAACGCGTTGCGCGCTTCCCCGGCCCAAGGACGGCCGAGGGAGGGGACCCATAATGAAGCTGGAGTGGGGAAAAAATAGACAGGGAAGGATTTGGGACTGGGAAGGATGGGTTCGGGCTCCGTCTTGCTCTTGCCTGCCTACGCATTTAGACCTGGTCTCGACATTCTGCGCCGGAGTGGCCTTGGACCCCCGCTGTTGGTGTTGTTTTTGTTTTGTCTGTTCTTGAACTACCCGCATTTCTTTTTCTCAAACTCTACGTATCTTTTTTCTCTCTCTCTCTCTCGTCTATGGGTGGTGGCGCGGTGTTCCTCGTTCTTTGTTTGCAATCTTCCAACTCATAGAATGCCGTCGACGAAATCTCTGCATTTTCTTTGCCGCTGCTATCCTAGACATTTGTGGCGCAAACTTTGTTGCTGGGGAAGGGGAATATACTACTTACACCAAAGACGGAAAGAAGATAGAGGAATCATGGGGTCTGCCTGCCCTTTGGGGAAAGGGGTTGTACAACAGTCTAGATAATCTTTATGTGTTGCTTGGCAGCGTAAAGAAGTTGGTTGAGAGAGTGGTTTGTTCGATGCTGGTTGAAGTGCCGAGTCTGATGGTGGCGATTACGGAGGCGAGTGATATAATAAGACGGTTTTTGTGCGTCCCCTTTGCTTTCACTGAGACTTGTTACAGAGACTCCGGAAAAGCCTCTTGTTTGACCGACGCCCATTTTAAACAAGCAACGGGAAACAAATCGGGCCAGCACTTGCACGCCAGCAGGCTGAAGATTTATTTCGGGCTCCCACTTTCGGCTCGTGACATTTGGCTCAGCAGGTGACCAAGTCCGGAAGTGATGCCGTGTATATTAACCCCCTTGGGATACGTGGCAATCGATGCCCTGATGGCATCAAGTCCGTTAGACCGATTTGGGCTATTGAGGAAGGAATGCATGCAGAGATGTTGAGCAAGCACATTCGCAAGCTGCCCATGGCCAACCAATCACATATGATCCTGAGATCACCGGAGCTGCCCGAGCTGAAAGCGCGTCAGACCATTGTGGCAGACGCGGGATGGGCAGTGGCACGACCTCATGAGATGCAGCAGGCCGGGATGGATAGATAAATACGGAGGGGGTAGCTAGATGGATGTCTCGTCGTCGGGCCCAACGTTGATGGCCCATCGACTCTTACTCTTAACACAAATAAACAACACACACACACACACACACACACACACACACACACACACACACACACAACAATGCTAGACACCCCTCTCCCGCACATCCTCCTCCCCATCCTCCTCCCCCTCGCCTTCTACCTCCCGCCCTTCCCCCACCGCGGCGCCGTCTTCGGCGTCCTGATCTGCGCGAACGCCGCCGCCTGCGCCGCCGACGAGTTCCCGCGCGCCGACCGCGTCGCGCGCTACGCCCTCAACGGGCTCTGGATCTTTTACTTCCCGGCCCTCGAGAAGCTGCTGCTGCACGAGCGGCCCGAGCGCGACTTTTGGCGCCTTGGAGGAGGACAGCAGCAGCAGCAGCAGTCCGGCGGGGCGACGACGCGCATGGCGCCCTGGTCGTGGCAAAAGGCGCGCTGGGCCCTCGCGCTCGTCGCTAGCCCCAGGGCCGTGGGGTGGAGTCACGGCTGCTGGCGGGGGCGGCGGCGGAGGGGGGTAGGGGGTGGTGGTGGTGGTGGTGGTGGTGGTGGTGGTGGTGGCGGTGGTGGTGAGGACGTCGCAGGTGACGACGTGCCCGGCCAGAACCAGCACAAGGGGCAGGGGCGCGCCCGCTTCATGCTTGGGCAGCTGGCGCGCGCGCTGGTCGGGACGGTGACGATCGAAGCCGCGACCATGGTTGGCCGCCGGCTGCTGCTGCGGGCGGGCGGCGGCGCGCCGCGGCCGCTGATGGAGCTGCTGATGGGCGCGACGGTGTGGGGGTCGTGGACGGCGCAGTACGGCGTCGCAGCGGCGGCGGGCGTCGGGCTGGGCCTGAGCGAGGCCAAGGACTGGCCGCCCATCTTTGGCAGCGTCGCGGCGGCGGACTCGGTGGCTGGGTTCTGGGGGGAGTTTTGGCACGGAATCCTCCGGCAGGTGAGTTGGGCGGCGTGTTTCCCTCCCCCTCCCCCAACCCGTGTCCCTACTGTTGAGCGTGACAGTTTTGCTGATGGAGGGCTTTTGGTTGGTGATGCCCCAGCCCGCTCTCGGGTTCAGCCACTACTTTGTGCAACGCCTGGGCATCGCCAGGGGCACGCCCGCCGCGCACGCCGTCCACCTGCTGACCGCGTTTGGCTTCAGCGCCCTGTTCCACGCCGTCAGCCTCTACCCGATATCGAGGGGTTATGTCCCGGTGACGGACCTCTGCGCCGGCATGTTTGTCTTCTTTCTTGGGCAGGCGGTTGCTATCCTTGCCGAGACGGCAGCCTCGCGCAGATACCAGGGGCCTCTCTCCGCCGACTCTCCGCGTCGCCTGCCCCGCTGGGTCGGGTACCTGTGGGTTTCGGCGTGGCTCGGGGTTTCTAGCTGGCCATTTGTCCGCATCTATCTGGCACTGGGAGCCATGGAGTGGAGGGCACCGTTCCAGATTCTGGAGCCCTGCTTGAAAGCTCTGGGGTATGTTGTATAAATATTTGTCCCGAACGTCATAACTTGGACGGAACTGTGGTGTTGCACCTTTCTCCTCACACGATGCTCTATTGGCATGGCAGGCCTCACAAGCGGACTTGGACAGACTTGCATGGACAGGCGTCCCATTTAGCCCTCCCGGGCCTGTGCCCTGCACAAGCTTTTGTAGCAGGGAACAACACAACACGTGTTCCAGGCAGTGTTGCCTGCAGTCACCTCCCACACTTAGCTTGCGCTAAATGCGAGGACCGATCAGGGGGGAGAGCGAGGGTGCTGGGCTGCGCCACACAGGGGTCGCAAAATCCTTTGCGATAATCTTCTCCAACCGTGTCCGGCCCTTCTTTTTCTCTCCATCCAACGCGTTTCCATCACCAAGCCGGCAGCGCTTTGTGGGTTTCGCGGCTTGCCCGACCTTGTACCGCGCAAAACAACAGCATTTGGCCTTGATTGACGGAACCTTTCTTTTCCTTTTTCGCGTGTTAAATCATGCGCATTCGGCATGGCTTCACCAGCCACGACGGGGCGGTTTCCAAAATCCTAGGTCGCGCCAAGCGCCTATTGCCTCCCCTCACATTCATCACCTGCCACTATGCCTACTTTGTGGGCGTTTGTCTCATCGCCTCCGTCGTTTTCTGGGGCTCGTCCAGCGAGAACTTCCGCGTTAGCTATGTCGACAGCCTCTACCTCGTCATTTCGGCCATGACCGAGGCCGGGCTAAATACGGTTAACCTAAGCCAGCTCAACACATGGCAGCAGGTTATACTGTTCGTCCTTATTATACTCGGCAGCTCCATTTGGGTTTCGATTTGGACGGTGCTGGCGCGTAAGCACGCGTTTGAAAGGCGCTTCGACGACATCGTCAAGGTCGCCCGCGCTAAAAGGGCACTCGGCGCCGTGTCTCCCGGCCTCGTCCTGCGTCGCATCATGTCCATACCTCGGTCGGCTCGCTCTAACGTGCCAACTCCAGGCCTTGGGGACCCGCTCCAGCTTCCGACACATTCAAGCAAACGCCCGAACGGCTTGGGCATCACGTCAAATGAAGGACCCGGGCCGTTATCCCCACCCATCTCTCGGGAGCCCATTCCGAAGCGCGCAAGCAGAGATTCCGTTTCCGCGATCGCGCCCCCGGCCGAGACCGTGGCCACGCCCACCCCCGCGGCCGAAAAAAACCCCGACGACGCGGTGACGCCTTTACCCGCACCGGGGAGTCCCGCGCCCGGTCCTTCCGACACAGCGTCACCTCGGAACCCCGAGAGTGGGCGGATAGTGTTTGCCGACGGCGTACGCGATGCGCCCTTGCGGAGGAGACCCGTTCCCAAGATGGCCACGGGCCCCCCGCAGTCGGAAACAGGCAGCGCCCAGCCCAAAACCCTGCGAGAGTTCCTGGACAACACGCCCGCCCTCCGCAACGGCCAGTTCCACGACCTTAGCAGCGACGAGCGCGACCAGCTCGGCGGCTGCGAGTACCGCGCCCTCAAAGTGCTGGCTATGATCGTGCCCGTTTACTTCGTTATGTGGCAGCTCCTTGGGTGCCTCGCGCTCGGCGCTTGGATCAACAACAATATGCCCGATACCGCCACCGCCAACGGTATCAGGCCGTGGTGGCTTGGAGTGTTTAACGGCGTTTCGGCCTTCAACAATTCAGGCATGTCGCTGCTCGACGCCAACATGATCCCTTTCCAGCAGGCCTATTTTGTCCTTATCACGATGGGCCTTATGATTCTGGCCGGGAATACAGCATACCCGCTATTCTTACGATTGATTATTTGGAGCGTACTTTGGCTACTTAGGCGGGCAACGAACGAGAACGAATGCGCCGAACTCAAAGCGACGTTAGAGTTTATCCTCAAATACCCGCGCCGCGTTTACACCAACCTTTTCCCTTCCGGCCCTACTTGGTGGCTGCTTTTCATGGTCATCCTGTTAAACTCGGTCGATTGGGTTGCGTTTGAACTTTTAAATTTCGGAAATCCGGTTATCGAAAGCATCCCTGTAGGCCCGAGAGTTCTCGACGGCCTTTTCCAAGCGCTTGCTGTTCGTTCGGGCGGCTTTTACGTCGTGCCTCCGGCCAAGTTATATATCGGCCTGCAAGTGTTATACGTAATTATGATGTACAGTAAGTTAATGCACCCGAATTCCGTCCCTTTACTTTTTTACCGCCGAGGACCAAAGGCTGGCTAACATGGCGATTATTATTGAAAAGTTTCCGTTTACCCTGTCGTAATCACAATGCGACACTCAAATGTGTACGAGGAGCGGAGTTTGGGTATCTACGCAGGCGATGAGGCCGCCCTCGCGGACCCCGAAGCGGGGCCTGCCTGGCCCGGCTTTAGCGAGCCTCTCGTTCAAGGCGCAACACCCAGCGTCGCTCGAGGCAAGAGCCGCCCGGGGCTCGACGTGGGACACGCGCTACGGCGGACGTTTACCCCCTGGCACGGCGTGGGCGCATGGCCGGGCGCGTGGCCGGCGGGCGAAAGGGCGCAGGGGACGGCGGCCGCAACCCCCGGTTCAGCGACGACGACCACTGCAGCGTGGCCGTCGCGCATTAGCTTCATCTCGCAGCAGATCCACGGACAGCTAGCGCACGACATTTGGTGGCTGGTGCTGGCGGTGCTCGTAATCGCAACTATCGAAACGTCGCACTTCCTCGGGGACCCTGTTTCGTGGTCCGTCTTCAACATCATTTTCGAGGTCGTGTCCGCCTACGGGTGCGTGGGCATTAGTGTTGGCGTGCCTTTCGACAGCTTTAGCTTCAGCGGCGGCTGGCAGCCAGGGAGCAAGCTTGTGCTTTGCCTCGTCATGCTCCGGGGCCGTCACAGAGGCTTGCCGGTCGCGCTGGACCGGGCCGTTAGGCTGCCGGGGGAGCAGCTGCACGCGGAGGAGGATGAGGACCACCGGATCCGTAGGAGCATGAGCTTCTCCGTCAGTCGTAGGGCTAGTGTCGATATTTAAGGACGGGAGATAGTTCTTGTTTCTTTTCGTGCTTTGAATGTTTAGCATATTTTGATTTTTTTTCAGCTACCCGTTTCGGTGCAGGTCGCGGCATAAGGCTAACACGACGGTGTGGGGCGCCAGGTTGTAGCCCATAAGCGTATCCCACTGGTTCCCGTGCCGCGGCCCATCTCGGATGCGATAGGGCGCAGGTGCAGGTTCTCCTTGATGCAGGCCTCGAAGTACTCGTACTGGGGCGGCGGCCCGGCTGTCGCCGTGGATGGCCTGGGGCTCCATCGAGGCCAGAAGCTCGGCGCACACGTCCAGGTTGCGGGCCAGCTCGAGCAAGAGGCAGGTGATGGTGTCCGACGTGGTCTCAGAGCCCGCGAGCAGGATCTCGGCCATCCGGTCGATGATGTCGCGCGTGCTCATCGGGCTGCCGCTGTCGGGCTCGCGACCCTCGCTAGTGGTCGTCTCTGCCAATACGGAAAGCCCCGGGACAGACAAAACTCGCATGTCCGGAGCAACGTCGCGCAGATCGCCCATCAGGTCGACTTGATGCCGTTTTCCCTTTCCGCCAGGGGGGCCGACCAGATACGGTCCTCGTACTTTTGCAGCAGATCCCGGACCAAAAGGCTTACTTAGGGGGTGTATTACAAAAAAAAAAGTACATTGTAAAAAGGAGGTTTTAGGCATAAATATAAGCTGCTTAAAGCATTGGAAAAGCGGTCCCTTTGCCTGGGAGCGTATAACGCTTCCAGGCATTAGGAGGGAAGCCTAGTAAGCAAGGAGGACAGGGGAGTTACGTGTATATAAAGGGCAGAGACCCCTACGGGGCCCTGCACTTCAGATCCTTTCCTCCTTAGAGCAAATCAACCGGAATAGCCTCATACCGTGCCTATCCCTTCTGCCTGCAATAACATTAAAATTAAAAGCGTAAGGATCGTGACTTTTTTTTTCCCCAGAGACCAACCACACCAGGTGTCATCGATCAGCCCCAGAGAGCCACCTTGGCCTTGGCCTTGGCCGTCAGGGTGACCTGGACCGTCCTGGCGACGCTGGGCACGCCCGAGGGCGACATGGCAAAGAGGTACCAGAAGCCCGGCGTCAGGACGCCGTAGTCGGCCGGCAGCTTGGCCTCGACCTTGCCGTCGGCGCGCACGTTGATGTCGGTGAGCGGCACGCGGCGCTGGTCAGTGTTGACCGAGTGGGTGACGGTGCCGACACGGACGAGCGAGAACTTGCAGTCCTTGACGTTTTCGGCGCCGCCCACGGAGAAGACGAGCGTCTCGCCCGCGTTGACGCGCTCACGCTCAAGGTTGGCAATGGCAGGGCGGTCGGCGCGTGAGCCGTCGGCCTTGAACAGGTAGGGTGGCTCGAAGATCTCGCCGTCGGCATGGTCAACCGTCTTGTCGCAGCGCGCGGAGCTGCCCTTGATCTTGTTGACGTAGCACAGGCCGCCACCGCCGACAAAGACGGTGGCGTCGGGCAGGAGGATCGAGACGGAGTGGTAGTTGCGCGGCACAGCCATGGGCGCCATCTGCGACCACGTCTTGGAGGCCGGGTCGAACACCTCGGGGATGAGGATGCCGTCCGTGTTGGTGAAGACAAGGGCCTTGCGCTGACCGCCCGTGACGATGACACGACCGTCGGGCAGGACGACCGTGTTGGCAAAGGCGCGGGGGAAGGCCATGTCGCCGACGCGCTCAACGTTGGAGCGGGTGCCCGGCTCGCCGATGGTGGTGATGTGGGCGTGGGTGTTGCCGTCGGACTTGTCGTAGTCCTGAGCGCCACCAGCCGTCAGGATCTTTCCGGCCGTGGCGTCGTACATGACAAAGGTGCCGCACATGGCGTCCACGTCGTCGCGCGTGCCGGCCTCGACGATGGCGCCGTAGCCCTTGGTACCGTACCAGTGCTGCTTCTTGGAGGGGCCGGCCTGGAACACGGAGCCTTGGCGCCACGAGAAGAGCCAGGCGTGGTTGTCTTCGCGCCAGATGCCCTCGTGGTCCTTGGTCAGCATGGGCTTGACGTCGGCGTCGGACAGCGCAGACCAGGTGTTGGCGTCGGCGTCGTAGACCTCGCCGTTCTTGCCCGCGCGAGCACCCGAGTAGGCGCCGCCGACGGTGAAAACGCGGCCGTCGGACAGGGTGACAGACGACTGGTAGCCACGGGCCATCTTGAGGTCCTGAACGCGCGAGAAGGAGTCGGTGGCGGGATCGTAGACGCTGACAGCGGCGGCGTCGGAGCCACCCTGGACGAGGATGCGACCGTCAGCTAAGGCGCTGATGCCTGGGCAGAACATGTCGTGCTTGGTGTTGCTAATCTCGCGCTGGCTGACGGCGCCCGTCTTGAGGTCGAAAGATCCAAACTGGGTCAGTCCGCTGGGTCCGCCAAAGGCGTCGACGCCCCAGGACGAGAAGAACATGAGCTTGCTGGGCTCCGGGAACGAGGGAACAACGTAGGCGGCCACGGGGATGACGGGGAAGCGGATAAGGTCAGACCAGCGGCCGACCTTGGAGGCGTCCAGGGCGGCCTCGACGCGAATGGTGGTGTAATGCTGCGCTTTGACCAAGAAGAGAGAGTAGCGAGGCTCGGCGCCCTTGACGTGGCAATCCTTGGTCTGGCTGTCGTACGCGGCCTTCTTGCAGTCCTTGGCGTTTGCGCAGGCCTCGGCACAAGCCTGGGCGCTGGCAACACCGTTGAAAACCCGCTCCGTCTTGCCGTCGTAGTCGGATCCGGGGCAGATGAGGTATTTGGCGTTGGCGCCCTTGAACTCGGTTTGCTGGCCCGGGCAGCTGGCCAAGAAAGCGCCGTCCTGGAGGTCGTTTCCATTGACAGGGGGGATAACAGGCTCCTTTCCAGGAGTACCGGGGACGCTGGTGGGAGGGGATGCGATAGGGGCCGTGCTCGAGGTGGTGGTAGGAGCTGCCGAGGAGGCAGCGGAGGAAGACGTGGTAGGAGCCGCTGTAGGGGCCGCCGTAGGGAGCGCGGAAGACGTGGGAGAGGTGTTATCGCCAGAGTTGCCTCCACCGCTGCCTGCATCGGGCGGCAACTTCCTGATGGCGTCACAGTTGGAATCCTGAGCCCAAATGTGATCCTCCCCGCTCTCGCTGTCCTTGATGTGGCATGTCCTGGCCTCCTTGTCGTAGAAAGCAAGAACACACTTTGGGTTCTCGTGGCAGTAGCCGACGCACTCACGGGTGCCACAGACGTCCTCAATAATCTGCAGAGACTTGCCGCCTGCCTGGTAGGTGGTGCCGTCGCAGATGGAGAAGCTGATTTGTTCGGCAGTGGTCCAGATGGTTTCGGACTCGAGGCAGGATGTGAGATTTGCGACGATGTTTTGAGCTGCAACTGGGCGCATGTGGCTCAGGAGCGCGGCTCCCAGGCCCACGGCCCTGAGCACAGCTGGAGCTGGCATTGTGTTTCGGTTGGGTTGTAAGAGACGTTTAAGAGACGGGAGCGTGCTTGAGCTCGGGTATAGTACAGGTGGTACAGGTGGTACAGGTGGTACAGGTGGCACAGGTATAGGTGGTACAGTTGGTGCGTTGAGACTGGGGCTCGATGCTGGTGATTCTAAATGGCCTTGGTTGTTTGTGTAATACAGGGGTTTTGAGAATGAAAAAGTGCCACGAAGACGCTGATATGTGGATAAAGGCCGACAGGAGATAGGAGGCTTGCTAGTCGTCGGTTCACAACAGAGAAGCGAGCGACTGCGGGTGAGTGAGAGCGAATAGTAATGGTGCCGAAGCTGACCGATAAACGAATGGACGGAAAGACAGGTTCACCACCGAGAGGCTGCTAGCTGCTTCCTGGGGGGTACAAACCTGGAGGAGAAGGAAAAAGATGAAAAGGGTTTCCAAAAGGTGCCCTGAGAGAGAAGGGGAAAGGTGTGCACAAACGAGCGGGTTCCTGCATCCCATATGTACCTACCGAGACTGACCCAAACCGACCCAGACCCGGACAAGGCCGTCCAGATCTCTGGGAGGCCCGCCATCGCGTGTCCATCATCACCCCGGTGCCCTGCTGCCCGCCGAGCCGAGAGAACCCCTGAGTAGATTGACGGGTCCCACCGTCGCCTGGTGGGCCATCGATCGAGAAGCAGGCGAGCCGGGCGCCGAGTCGGAGAAAATGCGCAAAGCTGAGTGGTCAATGTTTCGTTTCAGGGGGGTCGGACTCTGTGGCATGGCCTCCTCTTGGCCTCCTCTTGGCCCATTGGAAAGTGGGCAGGGCTACAACGCTGAGCCCAAGAGCCTCTGGCGAGATAAGGATGGGGGCCGGCGGCTCCATCGCTGGCGCCCGAGTGTCTCTTGGACCCACCAGATACGAAAGTCCAGAGAGAGAGTCTGGGTGCAGAGAGGATGAGGATGAACCAACCCCTTTTTGGTGTTCTTTTTTTGTCCGTTGTATGCTGACGGTTGGAACGCATGAGCGGCACGATTCGTCCAAAACAGAAGGCAGGCACCACCAATGCGGCTCAGCGCCGGGCAGGATCGTCCAGAGAAGATCGTCCAGGGAAGACCCCGAACCGTCCGATCATGCATTCATGCCTCGCGGCTAACGGGTGGCGATCATCGAGTTCGTCGCGAGCGGGATGGATGGTGGGCAGCTGCCATGGACTGCTGTCATAGACCACAGCTTCAGGTCAAAGGTTGGGGCGACAAGCAACAACACGTGGCTACCAACCTATCGCACTAGCCACCAGTGACGCCCTGCAGGGTGGTGGCGCGCCGTTGCCAGAAGGAGGCATTTGATTGCGCCACGAGAAGGCCAAGCAACGCCGTGACCGCCAACCCCAACGCCGCGCGCGCCAACCGTCGCGTGGGCGCAGCTACGCTATGGCGTCAGGTTTTGGCGAGAGTAGTATTTTGGCTAGGCGCAGAGTTTGGTAGCGCCGCCTGCCCCCCACGTGCGGGCTTTAACGGCCGTCGCTTGCTTGGCGACACGCGAGTGATGCACAGGGCAGATGGAAGTCTTGTTCTCCGGTCGAGCCCTGGCGGCGGCGTAAATGGCCTCATCTCCAGCCGACATTCTGCTGGTCTCGCTTCATTCTGGCTCTCTTTTTTGCTCGAGTCCAGCACAGCCTTTTCTCCCCCCACCTTTAGCAGCCGAGAGAGCCAAGCTTCGCGCTCATGCGTGTCTTGGATCCACAATTGCCCTAGCTACAGTAACCTGAATACAACGGGCACAGCACAGCCAATCAAGCCCCACCTGACCTGACACGGGCCCATTTCCATTCCCTCCCAATTCTGTGCCCTTCCTTCACTTTTATTTGCCTCTTTTGTCCTGCTAGTCTTGTTGTTGGACAGTCTCGCTGAACAAGGCTGACGCGGTGCGCCTCAGACATCACAGGTAGGTTTAAAGCCTGTCAGGTGCCCATCAAGCCCAGGTCTGTCGACACAGCCTCCCGTTCTGCGTCGGCCTTTTGTCCACCGTGCGCACCTCCCAGGCCTCGCTTCCGACCGCGGTGGGTGCCCAGAAAAGACCCCAGGGGTCCACGTCCCGCTTGACCCGCAGCAGTCGCGGGTAGACGACAAGCCCATAGAAATTGTCCTGCCAACCCGGCTCGAGCGAGTAGCCCTCGTTGATATAGGCGCCCCCACCCGGCGTCGCCGCCCTGATGGCGCCAGAATACTTCAGGAGCCGCTCGTTGGCCGCGTGGAAGTCGGCCGGCGTGAGATGGGCCAGTGCCGTCGAGTCCTGGACCGACGCGTGCATGGCCGCCGCGCGCCACCCGGGCGACACCGAGTTGGGTGGCACAACCGGCGTGCCCACCGTGTCCGGGTCCGTGTTCATCAGGAGGCCGTGGAATGTGTAGCCGCCTTCCTCGACGCTCGCGCGCACCGCCGCCATGGCCCGCGCAAACCCCGCCTCATCCGCCCACAGCGATCGCGGCCACAGCCTGGACGCGTACCGGGCGTTTCCCAGGCTGTCGCCCGTGCCGCCGCGCCGTGATGCGTACGGCCGGGGCTGGGCCGGCAGGGGGCTCGTCATGTTGACGCCCGCCGCCTGTAGACTGCGCATCAGCGGCGCTAGGTGGTCAGAGACCTGATCTGGCGTTTTGCCTGGGAACGAGATGCTCGTGGTGAAGCTGTACGTGTCGTTGCCCTGCTTGCGGATGTAGTTGAAGTCGACACCGTTGGCGAGCCCGACGTTGATGCCGAACTTGAAGTAGGCGTTGATGCCCCGCCAAAACGTCTCCTTGTCGACCACGGTTCCGGACGTGCCCGCTGTCGTTTGCCACTGCAGCTGGACCCCGGTGATGCTCACGGGTGCGTATGCTTTGAAGACTGCCGAGGTCACGATACCGAAACTTCCCACACCACTGCCGCGGAGCGCCCAGAAGAGGTCGGTGTTGTGCGTCCCGTTTGCGGTGACGAAGCTGCCGTCCGCGGTCACGACGTTGAGCTCCACGACCTGGTCGGCGCCGAGGCCGTGGCTGGACGTGATGGTCGTGTGCCCGCCGCCCAGCATCCATCCTCCCACGCCACCAACCGTGCTGCAGCCCGGTGCCGTAATGGTGATGCCGCCGTGGTCCACCATCAGGTTCGACATCTCCCACGCCTCGATCCCAGCCCCGAGCTGCATGGCTCTGCCGCTATAAAAGGCAGAGTCGTAATTCGCCATGTACCGCGAGTCCTTTAGATGGTGCGTCCACACGCTCAGCGACCCGGCGCCGACCGAGCGACCTCCGAAATCGTGGCCCGTGTTCTTGACCACGAGCCGCAGGTTCCGGTTGCGCGCAAAGTTGACCGCCGCCTGCACGTGTCGCGCCGTCGTCGCGTTGACCACGTACTCGGGGAACCCGCCGCGCGTGCAAGGGGGCGGCGGGTCGGCGCCGCCGCCCGGCCCGGAGCCCGTCGGCAGCACCACCCTGCACGTGTCCCCCTGCGGCCACACGGTCAGCACCGTGAGCGGGTCGTCCAGCAGCGCGCGCGTGCGCGAGGCGTCCCGCACCAGCGACTCGCACCGCGCCGCGTCGTACGCCGCGTGGGCCGGGTCGCAGGCCGCGCCGAGGGGCGTCGGCCTCAGCAGCCGGCCGTCCAGCAGGTCGTCGAGCGCGGCCCACTCCGCCTCGCCCGGCCAGTCGGCGTCGCCCGGGAAGGATCTGCACTCCCCCAAAGGAACGGGCGGCGCCGACGTGTTGCCGAAGGAGACGGCCGGGAAGGCCGCCACGTCCGTCTCGTCCAGCTGAACCGTCTCGTACGGAAATGTAAGCCCTGCCACGGCGTGAGCGGCTAAAAACAAAAGCCGCGCGGTGGCAGCAGCGCCATGGATGATGGAGTTTGCCCGCTTCATTTTGATGCAGAAATGGATTTCACGGGCCTTGTCTGGACCTGGGCTTGTTCGGCCAAGTCTAGGGAGCGCGGCGAGCCCGAGTCTTAAGAACCCAAAAGAAACACAGCAACCTCGTCCTCCTTTCTCCCCATGCATGCTGTGCTCGCTCGATCCATGCCGGCACTTCAGAACGGGAGTATATCCCCCCGCAACGGAGGGTACAAGACAGGTGCCGTCTCACTCCCCGCGGCCCCGGGAGGGCTGCACCCCGCTCTCACGGGCCGACAATACAGCACCAGCAGGTACAGCCCCCTGCGGGGATCATGCAGGGCGCGCATAGGCGACCGTGTTACACAGCTCTGTTATACAGCTCTCTGCTGCGGGACGGTTGCTATTCACGGCTCCAATGTTGCATTCGCTTCCAGAAGTGTGTGGCCGGGCTCCCCAATGCACAAGGCACCCGGGCGGCTTTGCAGATCTTTCGTCTTTGCGGAAAGATATTGAAATCTCTCAAATTAATCGACGCGGGAAGCTGAAGCCGCCTCAGCCCGTTGTCGGCCCCTCTTTCCCGTGACTGTCGTCTCGGCATATGATCCGACAGTGATCCGACAGCCGGGGCAGTCTGCCTGCGGCGTTGGCACACCTGACAAGTCGAACCCGCCTTCTTGGACACTCGATGCGTCAATGCTATTGGATATTGGATGGTGTCGGCCTTGCAGTGTCTGTGCGGGCAACAGCCTCATGCTCCTGCCGATGTCGTTCTTTGTCTTGGTCACTGCGAATAGCATGAATGTCCTTGCCAAGTATGGCCAAATTGGCTTGGCCCTCCTTTCGTCGGCATTCCTCTCCATGATCTTCCTCTCCTCACTTCCGTTTTAGGCCAAGCCCCAGATTCCAGTGCGAAAGAGAAGCACAGCAGTGCGAATAATGCGCCCATTCCACCCCGCGAAACCCAAGGGGGTATAAGTAGGCCCGCCATCTCATCGGCTCAAAAGGCACCTTCTCCATTCCATCTCATTCGGCCCGTAACGCCATCTCATCGGCTCGAAAGACAGCACAAGATCTTCTCCATTCCATCTCATTCTCCCTATCGTGGGCCCGTAACGCCATCGCCTCGTGGCCTTCCAACACCCGCTCGAAAATGTGGGCTGACTGTCTCAGCCACCTCGGCTGGCTTGGAGGTAGCCGCGGAGAAGAAGAAGTGGGAGAAGGAGAAGAAGGCATGGTGACGGTGGCCTGGACTTGTGTGAGTGCCCCCCCATCTCCGTCAAGGCTTTGTGATGATGGCCGATACTAACAGAAAACTACTATGCAACAGAAATGCGGAAAGCGCCTTGAGCTGGCCGTCGCTGAAGAGCATAGGCAAGGCGCTGTTGCGTTTGCCACTCAGGCTGCTGGCCCCTCGCGGCAGCACTCGATCCAAGTTACGCCTCCTCCGGCCCCACAGAGCTCAGAGACAGACACCCAGAGCCTAGCATCTTCCTCCCGCCTCGGAACCACCAGCACCTCGCCCTCATCAGCCCCTTCTATCTCCTCGGGCGGGGACTCCTCTGGCGGGGACGGCGGCTCCCTGGACCACCGGCCTATCCCCAAGGGGACCCCCACGTTTCTTCTGCTCTGTGTCAAGAGGGGCCCCCGCCGGATTGTACCGAGCTCCGTGAATCTCACCGACGTGATCCATGACACCACCATGTTCCAGAGGATCCGAGACGGATACTACGGCACTGGACCAACCGTATGGCACGGGTGGCGCGGGGCAGTCGCGTATGGGCGGGCCTTGGTGCGGAACTGCTTCCGCCTCCCGAAGACGGTGGAATATATCAAGGTAAGTTCCTGCAGGCTCCGTGGTCTCATCCTTCTCAACATGATAAACAATAACCCCAGCTGACACTTTTTTTTTCTTACATCGCTATAGTTCGAGTCTCTGCGGCTGCAAAAGACGGGAACAAGAATATGCAACCACACGTTTGGCCAAATCCCGAGCGTGAAGCAAGTGTACAACATGGAGTACAGCTACCGGCCCTGCCCAACACAGACCCCTATCCAGTCGCCCCGGCCATCTTGATACACTGGCTCCTCGATCCCGGAGACCACTTCGACGACTCGTCCATGCTGCTGGAAAGGCTGCTGGAAAGGCTGCCGAAAAAGCTCCACACCTCTATCGAGGAGGATGCACAGAGGACTCCCCGCGTGCCGCCGGTGGGATGGGGCATATACATCGTCGATGAGATCAACTAGACTAGGATCCGGGTCGCCACTTTGGTGCTGTTGTTCATAACCTTGTTGCTCGCGGTGGTTTGGGTCAAGATGATGGAAGACATCCAGGGCGGGATGGGTATCGGCCAGTTTATGATTTCTCTCATCTTGGGGGTGTTCACGGTGTCCGTTTCGGCGCTCCCTTCGCTTGAGTGACCTTGCGCGAGGACCAGCCTACAGACGGTGATGGAATGGTAGGCCGGGAGACCAGGGGGATTTCTCGGCGGTACATCCACCGCCCACCTTGTCTTTGCACAACCGCGCTTGCCGGACGCCGGCATAGTTTGATAGTACGCACTCATATTCTTGCGGCATATTTGCCCATGCGATTTCTATACTGCTAGGCTCAACGACGCCAATGCTCGCGAGGAACAAGCTCAAAGTAAAAGTGTCACATCCGGTCCCGCAAAGTTCACCCGTTTTCGGGCGCTTCCAATATGCTTGCAGTACCTCCAAGCCTGCTCGCGGGGCGAGGGCAGGACAGAAACGCGAGAGTAGCTGAGGCTGGCTGGGGGGGTTCATTGCACGAAACTTTACGTTTGTGGTTTGTGTATTTGGAAGAGACGGCGGTGTCTTACAGATAGCAGCTCAATATACGCGCGTGGCGGCGAACAACCGCACCAGCGCAACAAACACCCTGCCGTGCAAGCCCCGGCTTCGTTTCAAAATCGCCCTCTGGCTGGGCGCCTTGAGAAAAACTTCTGGTTCTGCTCAACTGCCGGCGCAGTACCCACAAGCAATACAACGCTATGGTAAAAGAGCAGAGGGTTTATTTAGTTTTCGGATCCGGTCCATTAGAGGAATCACAGCTCCGGCGGGAGGATGAGAGAGGATGGGACGGCGAGGAGGATCGCCGACTTCCAAGAAAAATATCGGCCCTATTTTGTCGCCCCCCACTATTCCATGCTTTGTGACGATGTGGTCGACCGGCAGCGTTTGGCATGCTGTCTTGAATGTTCCAGAGAGCTTTGGCGTCTTTGCTTACTTTGGCTTGGGAGGCCAGGGGTCCCAGGTTGCGGGTTGCGGGTTGCGGTTCGTGCGCGCTCGGGTGTTACGTGCGGCCTGAAGGACATAGATTAATATTAGGCCAGGGGGAGGTTTCTAGGCCCGCGACCTTCCCGGGCAGAATTCGGAGACAGCCAACTTCCAAGAAAGCGGCCACGGTGTGCGATGACCATGGCGTTGGATCATTTGAAATGATCTCATGTGGCGAGGTCTTTGATATATGACCGTGGGCGATGGCGAGCATGGTGGCGTCTGGGGACTGGCCTAACTTTTTGCCCTTCTAGATCAAGTCTACAACCCCAAACTGCACTTGGACCAGTCAGCCCTACGACGTTGCCTTCTCTGTTTGCTTGATAAGAAATCTTGAGACCAGAATCCAAACGACCATGTCACAACAACGACAGCCAGGGCAGTGGTCACCACTGGGCGGCAACGTGAACGCGCCAATGCCCATGGAGCCACCGTCACCCACACAGCGGCAGGACCCCGCCTGGCCGCAGTACGCCATGATGCGTCCATCAGACCAGCCGCCCTCTGCCGACCTGCCCTACCCCCTGTTCGCTGCCAGGGACTACTACCGCGACCGGTCCATGAGCAACGCCACGCACGCAGACGCCGCCGAGAGGGCCGCCGCCTTCCAGACGGCCGCGACCCGATCCCGGAGCGCCACCCAACCTAGCCTGCCCCGGCCGGCAACTCCCTTGGGCTGGGAGCGGTACGTGCCGCCGCTGTTTGCCGCGACGGGCGGCGGTGAGGTCCCCCCCAGCCTGCGGGACCTGCCGCCGCTGCCGCCGCCTACTGCTGCCTGGGGCTACTCGCAGTCGAGGGTGGCGCCGTCTCGCCTGCCGGTCCGGGTGCCGCAGGAGGCCCGCGACGATGCCAGGGTCCGCGCCATCGTGCAGGCGCTGCGGGTGGATCCGCAGGGCGCGCCCGCTCCCTCCATGGAGACGCAGCAGCAGCAGCAAGAACAACAACAACAACAACAACAACAACAACAACAACAACAACAACAACAGCAACAGCAGCAGCAGCAGCAGCAGCAGCCGAGTTACGTGGAGCTGCGGCCCATGCCCAGCATTCCCAGCGCACTCCGCCCGCAGCAGTGGGCCACGGGGCTGCCCCCGCGGCCGTCCCAGACGGCTGCCGCTGCCACCCCGAGCCCGGAGTTCCTGGAGAGCCGGCGGGGCCTGGCGCAGCGGCAGGCCGGCGTGCCCCCGCCCATCAACGCCGTGGCCGCCTCTGCGGCGCCGGCCTTGTACAAGCCGGACCCGATGGCCACGACGGCCACGGCGGTCGGCAGCAGCAGCAGCACCCCCTCGACGGCGGGGTGGCCCACCAAGGAGGGCGTGAGCTACATCGAGCGTGCCGGCGGCGGCGGCGGCGGCGGCGGCGGCTGGCCGCCCATGACGACCATGGGCGACGACGGCGGGCGGGGCGGCGGGGTGGCGTACGCGGAGAACAGGCGGGTCGGCACGGCCGACACGGTCGAGCTGGACAAGGACGTGGTGACGTGGGACGGGCCCGACGACCCGACCAACCCGGCCAACTGGCCCATGCGCAAAAAGTACCGGACGTCCCTCATCCTCTCGCTCTTCAGCTTCATCGCGCCCTTCTCGGCCACCATGGTCGGCCCGGCCATCGACGTGATCGGGGCCGAGCTCGACATCGCGCCCCCGGCCCAGCAGCTGATCCAGGGCATGCAGGTCCTGGCCGCCGGCATCGGGCCCTTCTTCATCGCGCCCATGATCGAGGTTTATGGGAGGGCTGATGTTATACGCTACACCCACCTATGGCACCTGATCTGGAACACGGCGTGCGGCTTTTCGACCACGGGCGGGCAGTTGCTTGCGTTTCGCTTTATTAGCGGGCTTGGGGCTAGTGCGCCCCAGATCGTAAGTTTCTTTTTTTTTCCCCTTTGCCTGCGCCTTTGCAAAAACGGCCAAACTGATCATACCTCTTCTTCTTACAGCTCGCCCCAGGCCTCACCGCCGACGTCTACCCGGCGCCCATGGGCGGCCGCGGCGACGCGGTGCATGCCTACCTGCCCTTTTTCGGCAGCGCCATCGCGCCCATATTCGGCGCCTTTGTAACCCAAGAAAGCAACTGGCGCTGGATCTTCTGGGGCACGTCCATCTTCAGCCTGGTGGCCATCATCCTGGCCTTTGTGGCGCTGGAAGAGACGTACCACGCGGTCCTGCTGGAGCGCAAGGCGGCGCGGCTGCGCAAGGAGACGGGCAACATGCGCCTGCACACGCCCTTTCACCCTCCCGGGGTGGACCAGCGGCGCAACTGGCTGCTCAAGCGCGCGGCGCTGCCTTGGTTCATGTTGGTGTCGCACCCCATCGTGCAGCTGCCGTTTGGGTACAGGGCGTACCTGTTCGGCATCATGTACCTCGTCATCTCGACCTTTGACCGCAACTTTGTCGCCTTTTACGGCATGGACAGGGCGAGTGCAAGCCTCAACTACCTCGCGCTCGGCATCGGCTTCGTGGTAGGGCTGCATATCAGCCGCTACGCTATCGACGGGGTAAGTTCCGGCCCATAGTTCCGGCCATGGCGGTGAGAGGAACATGCACAAGGCTAACAAAAACCCTCCCTCCCCCACCAGTTTTCGGCATATTTCCGCCGCAAGCACAACACAACCGGGCACCGGCCCGAATGGCGGCTGCCCGTCAACGCCGGCGCCGCCATCCTCCTGCCGCCGGCGCTGGCACTATACGGCTGGGGCCTCCAAAACAGGCTGCACTACATTGTCGTGGACCTTTCCGCCTTCTTCCTCGCCATCGGCCTGATCCTGGGCTTCTTCAGCCTGCAGCCGTACGTGACCGAGTCGTACGGGCTCGAGTACGCGGCGAGCGCGCACACGGTCGGCGCCTTTCTGCAGCACATTGCCGAGTTCGCCTTCCCACTGGCCGGGCCGCCCGTTACGAGCTCGGACCTGGGCTTCGGCTGGGGCTACACCATGCTGGCCGTCTTTACGCTGGCCGTCTGCGTCATGATGCCCATGGTTCTGTGGCACTTTGGCCCGGCCATCCGCCGCGTGAGCACCAAGGGCCTGCCCGTCGACCCGTCAGCAAGGCGCTAAGGCGGCAGGGGGGCGTGGTGCTGGGGGGTTGTGGTGGTGGCGCTCGCGCTGTCTGGGTAGGTGTTTCTGGCTGTTTCTGCGGAGATGCACGTACCTAGGAGATGGAACACTGGTGGTGTTTTGTTATAGGGCTAGTCTGAAAATGCATGCTAGATACTGGTGCTGTTGTTATCTTGTAAAATACTGGGAACATGAATCGCGCTTACCGTCAAATGCAACCAGGGTTATTGCTTACTGCAAATGCCTTCATGTTGATGCCCAATCCAACTGCCGCGATAATACGGCAGTATCCAAGATGTAGTCTACCACTCTACCTAGCACCACGGATCTGCAAAACACTGCAGACACTGCCACCACCCTTGGCAGCTGCTGATGGCCTAGCGTCCCATGCACGTGGGAGGGGTCTCTACCAATTTTCGTGTGGCGCAGACTGCGTGATATAATTTTTCCTTCCTTACCGCTCCCCAACGCTTTTCCCCACCCACTACCACCCCGGAAACGCACACCCCGGTCCCGGCATGTTGCGCAAATCGTCACGGCTCGGACGCGCTCCGGCACCTGGTAGCTGCTTTTTGTTTTACCTTTATAGTGATCCTGCGCGCGGGGCCGGGGCGCCGGAGGGGGCTGTGCCTTGGCTGTTTCTCTCTCTCTCTCTCTCATTCGCCCTGATCTGGGAAGCCCGCTGCTGCATCATCATCACCAATTACACCGATCCTCCTCATCGCCCGGCCTTTGTCACCGCTCTATCGCCGGCCCAGACCCCTGTCGGGGCGTGCGCGCCCGCGCCCCCCATCTGCTTTGCCAGAAAACTACTCTTGAGGAAACGCCTTGGCGAAGTCGATGGTCAGCTCCCCGTGCTTCCAAATAACCCCCCCGTCTTCGACAACTTGGACGCACAGCGAGCGTGCTTTGTTTTTTTTTTTGGCGGTTGCAGCGCGCCGTGCCCGAGTTTGCGTAGCAGATACCTGCTTGGCCGCGGGCTTTGAGACCGTTGGCGGGGACTTGGGTGCTCGAGACCACGGCTGGCACGGCTGGCACGGCGTGATCCCCTCCTCCCGTGCACCACGTCCTGTGGTAGCCAGAGTCTATATAGACCCCTTTCGCAGACCGGCAAGAGGACAGATCTCGAGTCTAGACGATATCTCCAGACCGATAGACCAAGACATCAAATGACCCTGGCTTGCCCGTTACCGCCACCCCTACTTGTCCAATATTTGTTGGCCTCCCTTTGTTGCTATACCCTCGAATTGCCAAGCTCTCTATCAAGATGGACGCGGACCAGCGACCCCCGCCTCCTGACGTGAGCATGATCAGGAACTGGCGCTCCATCCTCACCCTTATCGTTTTTGCCATTACCAGTATGTCCATCCACCCATGTCGCCCTTCAGGGACCCCGTTGCTGAAATCTTCAAACACTTTGGTCAGACACCGTTGTCAGCTTTCCGTTCCACATCCCCATACCTGTCCCGAGAGCGGCGTGGAACGGGTTCCTAGGAGGGCTTTCTAGCCTGCACCTCATCTCCCGGCCTGATGATGGGGCCAAGTCAGGCCGTTGGAAGGTCCTGAGGCTGCACATCAGCACCATCACGGCGCCCCTCTACGCATGTCTCTTGCTGCTTGCCTGCCAGGCCATCGGACGCGATGAAGTCTACGCTGGCACTGTCGGCGCCAACCACGTCGAGCCCATCGATGTCATGGTCTTCTTCATCACCTTGGCATACATCGCCATATCCATCGACGCCTCGGGTCTGCTCAGGTACCTCGCCTACAGGGTCCTCAAGAAGAGTGGTGCCCATGGCCGGCGGCTGTACACTTATTTGTATTGGTTCTTCTTTGCCGTCGGGACGGTTATTGGAAATGACCCCATTGTGCTATCTGGTTAGACTTTTTTTTTGTTTATATTGACTCTTCCCAACTTCCCATCCCAGCTGACTGACCACCGCTACCTCTTCAGGCACGGCCTTTTTGGCCTATATGTTTAGGGCCTCGAGCAACATGTCGTCGGCCCGGGCCTGGATCTTCTCGCAGTTCGCCGTGGCCAACATCAGCTCGGCCATCCTTGTGTCGTCGAACCCGACGAACCTGGTGCTTGCGGGCGCCTTCCAGATCAAGTTCATCGACTACACGGCCAACATGATCGTGCCGGCCGTGGTGACGGGCCTCGTGCTGTGCCCGTGCCTGCTCTTCCTCGTCTTCCGGTCCGAGAAGCTCGTGCCGCGCTCAATCGACATGCACACGCTCTCCGACGCCGAGAAGGAGCGCGAGCCCGTGAACCCCAACGTGCCCTTTGCCGGCTACGGCGAGGACCGCACGCCCGTGGGCGAGATCCTGAACCCGTACCTGGACCGCCGCCACGCCATCGTCAGCTGCGCCATCATGGCCGCCACCCTCACGTCGGTGCTGCTCATCAACGCCATCACCGCCTCCCGCGGCGGCGACCCGACCCCGGTCATGTACGTCACCGCCCCGGCCGCCTTCCTCTGCTTCTGCCACGACATGTGGTCCGGCTGGCGATCCCGCCGCGAGACGCGCGACGTCGCCGCCCGCGGCCGCGCCCTCGCCGAGCGCGCCGCTGTCGAGGAGGAGCTGCGCGCCAGGGCGGCGGGACCAGCGACAGCCGCCGTCGTCGCCTCGGCCGACAACGGCAGAAGCAGCAGCAGCAGCGACAACGGCGCCGCCCCCAACCCGGCCGCCTCGTCCTCGGACGGCGAAAAGATGGGGGGGCCGCCGTCGCCCTGGGGTGAGAAGCAGCACAGGGACCGGGCCGCGGCCGTGACGCGCGAGCTGGAGCAGCGGCGCGCACAACAAGGCGCGCGGCCCGCGACGCTCGTGTCGGCGGCGCGCCACGCAAACATGTGGTGGCGCGACACCTTCCCCGCGGCCTCGACGGTCCTGACGCGCCTGCCCTTTGCGCTCGTGCCCTTTGCCTTTTCCATGTTCATCCTGGTCGAGGCGCTCGTGACCAAGGGGTGGGTGCCGCTGTTCGCCTATGGCTGGGACTCGTGGGTGCAGAGGACGGGCGTCGTGGGCGCCATCGCCGGCATGGGGTTCCTGGGCGTTTTCCTGTCCAACGTGAGTGTTTTTTCTTTCTCCCTTGTCACCTTCCTTCTCCTCTCTCTCTTTCTCTCTCTCTCTCTCTCTCTCTCTCTCTCTCTCTCT